AAGAGTGTGAGAGGGGAAACTTGTATTTCTGGACTATTTTTCAACGAGCCTGCATTACTTTTGTAATTGAAAACAACACAAGCAATATTGGAACTTACAATGAGTCCACGACATAGGGGAGCTTACTGTGTAGTTAGAGAGACAATAACACCCAGAATGACTAGAGATTAAGGCTGCTCACTCTGTGGACTTGAGGTTTCAGATACTGAAACCAGGCCCATCTGAAGAGCAAACGCCTACCATTAACTGAGTACTTATTGTATGCCGGGGACCATGCAAATTGCTTTACCCATATTATTTCATTTAATCCTTTCAGCAACCTTCAAAGGTAAGTATTCATAATGCCCTCCTCTACATATGAGGTAACAAAAGGCAAGAGAGGTCATTTTCTTGAGATCACACTCAATTGGCATTATCAAGGCATAAAACCAGGACTTTCTGGCCCCAAAGTTCATACTTTGACCACTATTCCTTAAATTGCATCTACACTGATATAATTCTTCTGCTGTAACAACAATCTTACTTTTTTAGTTTTTAGTTTTTAAAACATTTATTTTAAATTTTATCAAAATATAAGGTATACTGCCATATTATAGAGCTATTGGAAATGAAGAAAAACAATAAAACCAAAGACACAAAGATTTGGTGTCTGATTTCTATTATTTTAGATAATTTCGACAACATCATACTTATGATTCTTATTGTTTTTTTTTTTTAACTCTAGCATTATATTATATGCTCTTTCCTCACAATTATCATATTAGTGGCTCCACAGTGTGCCAAAAAATGTATATGCTTGTGCATGTGTAGTGTATATTGAAATTAATCTGAAATCTAGTAGCCTAATTATTAATTTGGGAGCAGTTTAGTATAATATTTTTACATTATTTTTATTAATGAAAACTCTTGGACTATCTTTTTTTATAGTTAGTACTACTATACTATGTATACAAATGTTCTAATTAAAGTGTTTTGGGTATTGAAAAAAGTAAATGAGAGGTACTATGTGCCACATCTCATTAGTATTATTTTCTGTGCTCTTCTGGACTGGAGCAAGATGGGGAGGGTGTAGAGAGAGCAATAAGCAGCTTTGCAGCAGTTCAAGTACAAGATGGCAGTGGTCTAGGTTAGGAAAGTGACGATAACAATATAAGAAGCAAAGAGGACTTGAAGTATAATGGATAGAATTTGCAGATCAATTAGATATGGGGATAGAGCCAAAAAGAACTCCTACTTTTTTTATTTGTTTACTTGAGCTCTTGGTTAGATTGTACTGCCTTTTACTACACAAGACAGGGAATGTCAAGGTAGGAACAAGTTTGTGGAGGAAGATGATGAGTTTTGAACATGATGAGTTTGAGATGTGTGGTGTGTAAATGGAGATATTAAATGGGCAGCTGATAATATTAGTCTGGAACTCAGAAAAGAAGCATGAACTAATGCTATACATTTGAGAATAGTCAGCATAGATAATAAGAAAGCCATAAGAAAAAATGAGAGTGCTTAGAATGAGTACAAGTGAAATGAGGAGAAGTCTAAGAGAGAGCCCAACATATAGGCTTGATAAAGAAGAACACTGCAGATTAGCCTGAAAATACATAACTTGAGAGATAGGAAGAAAATCAAGAGAATATACTGTCAAGGAAACCAAAAAAAAGACTTGTTAAGGAAGGTGGAATGGTCATCTACATCAAATACTCCTGAGAGAGCAAAGTAAAATAAAGACTAAAAAAGTCCATTGGATTTGGTGACATGGAGGTTCGTTGACCTTAACCAGAGGGAGTTTGGTTATGCTATGGTGGAGCGCAGCTCTGATGGAGTGGGGTAAGGAAGAGCTCAGTAGGGGACCAGTGAATAGGCTTCCTGGGGTGCTGATCTATAAGGAGTTCCAAAGTATTACCAGAATAAATTCATAAAGTACAGTTTGGGTTGGTGGGAAATGAAGAGTGATTGCTAAATGAGTACAGGGTACTGGGGTGATAAAAATGTTCCATAATTGATTGAATGCTGATGGGAAGGAATCAGTAAAGGAGATGAGGAAAGAGATAATGGGGAGGACAATCAGTAGTCAAGGTTCAGGAGAAGTCTGGAGGAGATGGTATCCAGAAAATAGATGGAAAAAAATGGCCTGAGAGATGAGAAGAAATTGCATCTCCAATACAAGA